AGCTTCACGTGTTGTGCTTGGGCTCCACTTGGGCTGTGGAGGGGGAGTGGAGGCTGGCAGGCAAAGCCAAGTGTTGGGAGATCCATGCAAAATAAGGCAACCCCCCAAGCTGGATCCTGCCGGGGAGACACCCCCTGTTCTCTCTCTCTCTCCCCCCGCGGTGGGGACCCGGGCAGCGTGAGCGCAGCACCCACCTCAGAGGCGGCCAGCAAGCAAACAAATGTTTGCTTGCTCCAGCTGGGAGGCGGCCGGGCTGAGCCCAGGCTCCAGCAGGCAAGAGCGGAGCAAGCAGCACGCACACCCTCCCCGCCGCCGCGATGGCGCTGGGATGCACGAGCTGAACGGTTGGAGCTTGCAAGCCAACCAGTGATGGATGGGACAGAGAGCCGCAGCAGAGGGCCCGGGTTGCCGACACCCGAACTACAGGATCCACGACTCGCATCACGTCCATTTCCAAGGTTTTGTTCTTGGCGGGAACCTATCAAGACGTCCCCTGCTCAAAAGGGTTGGGGACCCGCTGTTCCGGCTCGCTACTTTGTACGCATCTAAAGGCCAGTGTTTTTGCTTTCCCACCCGACCGGCCAGCCCAGGGCTCACCTTGAGGTTAGCCTTCAACCCCGCCGATTTGGCCAGGCACTGCAATTCGCTGTACTTGAGCTCCTCCAACTGAGACGAAGAGAGCGCCTCCATGACTGACACTTCGACGCTCAACAGTCAACTCCTTCGAGGAGACGACGCTAAGATTCAACGGCCAGAGCTTCTTCGGTCCCGCCTCTATTTTCAAACCTCCCAATCGTAGCGAGATCTCTGCTGAGCCCTTGCTGGTAAAACCAATCAGATCCCAGGATGAAAAAAACCCGGGGCGGTATTGTTTCCCTCCCCTCTGAATTCTCACAACTCCATTAGGTAAAAGCGAAAGACGAACAGGCATCTTCTCCAATGAGCGGGGAGAGAGGGAGAGCCGTCCTTGTTTAACCACCCCACCCCACGTGTTCAAAGGGCAGACAGGCAGCGCAGTTAGGAAGACGGGAGCCAAGTTTGAATCTTTGGCGGGAGGCCGTGATGTCCATACGGAAGAAACTGCGGCTTTTGTTTGAGGAGCCCCAGGTGGGCGGCACAATCACGGTAGAGCGGGCAGGACCTCGGACGCGGCCCGGCTGCCAAGCCCCCAAAAGCGCAACGAAGCAGGAGAGCCGCGGGGAGCGAGTCCCGGGCGCTCGGGGACTCAGGCTGGAGGACTGCGCGGTCTATCAGTGCCGACGCTGCCGGGTCGTATTAGGAGACTCGCTCCACTTGTGCGCGCAGGAGGAGAAACTCCGGGTTTTTGTTTGCTTCAGTGAGTTGATCGGGTGTTTTGAACGGACACGCTAAAGTCGAGTTTCCCGGAGGTGCGAATCGGCGAAGTTTCGAGGGGCACCGAAACTTAGTAAGGGCAAATGCGAATCGATCTGCACCCAGGAGGCTTATGGGGCTCTCGCTAGGTAGAGGACATACACGCGTTGTGCTTAAGTGTGAAACGGTCCGTGGGCCATTTGTCTCCAGAAAGTGGAGGGGTGTCTGTGTATGTAAGAGCAGAACACCGTGCTCTTATTTAGATGCGTTTTCCTCTAACTAAAGGAGCATGGCGGATTTATTCTTCACTTTTCCCTCTGTAGAATTTGGATAAGCGTCATTAATGGCTGAGCATTGAAACGGATATTTGCTCAGAAACTATGTGAGGGGAACGGATGTGAGGCAGGCTCCTAGCAAGATAAGCTGCTCTTCCCCCTTTACAGATCTAAAAGCAACACTAGTCTTGGGCCCAATGCTCTTCAATAGCTTCCTAAAAGACCTAGATGAGGGAATTGAAAGGGTGCTCATCAAATTGTGGATGACACTACAAGCTGAGGGGAATTGCTAACACTTTGGAAGAGAGACTCCAGATTTGAAAGGATCTTGTCAGATTTGAGTATTGGGGCCCTATCCAAGAGAATGCATTTCGGTAGGGGAAAAAAGCAAGGTCCTCACTTAGGAAAAACTAGACACACAGTACAGCTGCCATAAAAGTGATTACAGTCCTAGGCTTGCATCAACAGAGGACAACGTCAAGATCACGAGAAGTAATAGCACTGATCTACTGCACTAAGTGAGGCCACATTTGAAATACCATGTCTAGTTCTGGTCATTATGATATTAAAAAAAAAAGATGCTACAGCCCTAGAAAAAGTGGAGAGAGGAGAGCAAAAAGATAATAAGGGGTCTGGAGCTAAGCCCTAACCCTCTGCAAAGGCAAAAAAAATCACGATGCGTCATGATCCTGCCTGTGACGTGATCAAATTTGATACCAGTGGATTAATCAATGGAAAAGCTTGCTTCCTGGAACTATGGATGCCCTAACACTGGAGGTTTTCAAGAAAAGATGGGAAACCATTTGTCTGGGATGGTATAAGGACTCCTGTCTTGGTAGGGGGTTAGGCAAAAAGATCTTTGAAGTCCCTTCTAACTATGATTCTATCACCTTGAGTAGTACCCAGACACCCACTAGAAACCAATGCAGCTCATAAAGCAATAATGTGATAAGTACTAAATAGCTGACATTATTTATAACTAGTGCAGCTGCATTCTGTACCAAATGTTATTTAGGGGCAGCCTCATGTAGAGTGTACTATAATAACCCAAAGGGAGGTCATGAGAACATGAGTGACAATGAGCAGAGCCTCCCAGTTCAGGAACGAGCACAATTAGTGCACAACCCAAAGGTGTGCAAAGGCCCTCTTAACCAAGGCTATCACCTGGTCATCTAGGAGAAGCCAAGAGTACAAGAGGGCTCCTCAGATTGCTTCCCAAGTCAGTCTTGAGGCAGTGCCACCTCATCCAGAACCAGATGTGGAAAAACCTTGGCACTGGAAGGCCCAAGCACCTATGTGGTGTCCAATGTACAAGTAGCTTATAAATTAATAAGAGCAGACAATTTTGTTTAGAGCACAATGGGAATTGCAAATTGGGGTTTTTAAGCTATATTTTCTTGCATGTGGTTACTCTCTATTTTTTAATTGAAATTTTTGATTTAATTTTCAATACATTTGGAAGGGAATGTTTATTCACGGATAGAAACAGTATGACATCCAAACGTCACGGGAGGAGGGAGTATCATCTACCAGTAGCTGCCTCTTGCAATCCAAGAGGCTAGAAAAGTTTGATAGGGGTTTTTTTTGGTTTTTTGCAAAATCACAAAGTATAATTGCCTAAACCAAAAAGTAATAGTTTTGGGAACCCTTTTTATTGCTAATATTAAGACATAAGTAATTGGTTAATTCTTGTTACAACCAATGATCAAAAAAGTGGATTCTCCACTTGTGGAAAACAGCTACATGAAAAAAAAATGTTTGTATTGCTAATATTCCAACACTGCCCTTATTTTCTGCAGAGGTCACAAAAGATGTTGTTGTGGAAGACAACTTGATGGTTTGTGTTGAAGGAGACCTCATTGGTTGGTGGGTATCTTTTTGAAAACCTTTCCACTGTTTACCTGTGATTTATTTTGAATGCCTGTAAGACAACAATGTAACTTTAAAACACATGCAGATTTAAAAACATAAATACATCTAAAAGAAGGAAAGTATTTTTGTCTTTACACTAGGATTTTCTACCTTTGTCATTTAAAATAACATGCTTAAATTTCAATTGCTCTATCTGATTTTGCATATCAAGTTTTTGCCTCAAGACCTCAAGGGTTCATCCTTACCTGGTAAACTATTTTTTGATGTCATGTCTTCATGAAATTGCCTGTCTCATATCCCACCATAAATGACCACATATGAACATTGTCTTCAGCTGTTCCACTTTTAAAGTCGTATTTTACATCTTCAGACAAATACTTTGCCATAGATCTTAACCTAGCATACTTTATTCACATTATGGCTGCTGATATTCTTAATGTAACACCACTGTTCCACAAACTGCATTGGCTGCCAGTCTACTTCAGGGTACAATTCAAGGTGTTGGTAATCACCTTTAAAGCCTTTCAGGGCATGGATCCAGGTTACTTTGAGGGACTATCTCATCCCAAAGGGATTGATCCATCCCACCCGTGACAGCAGAAGAGGCATGCTATGGGCCCATCAGCCTGATTATTTCAGTGGAAGGGATCCAGAATGGCCCGCCTCTGCTATTTCACCAGCCCTGTAGAACATCTTGCTCCTGGTCAGCACTCTCCTGACCTTCTGAAACAACCTAAAAACTGTGCTCTGCCAGTTAGCTTAGAGCCCCAGTGGGAGAGAATCACTGTGGAGATGGTTGAGCAATTAACAGCAGACTCCCCGAAATCCTTCCCCATCTTTTAATTGGATTGTGGTGTTCTGAATTTTATATTAACTTATGTATGTTTTTAGTTTGTATAGACTTTTGTTTTTTACAATTGTAAGTTGCTCAAAGTTATCTTGAGGTAAAATGGGCAACTGATAAATCCAATAGATACGTACATACGTACATACATACATATGGGGGAATCTGGTTTAGATTAATCAGCTATGGACATTCTCCCTCTGCTCTGGTGTTGCCCTCCATGGTCAATATGGCTACAGGAGACACTAGCCTGCATCACTGCTTTGTGAAGCATTTGCCAAGTCTTAGCTCCTTATAAATACAGGCTTAATGCTCTACGTCAGTGATGGCAAACATTTTTGTTATGGTGTGCCGAAAGCGCATGCATGCTGGCACCCACAATGCAATGCACCCCGGCCCCGTTGTGCATGCATGCGCAACATTCCAACCCCCTTACCTGCACTGCATATGCACGCACCTCCCAGCTGATTTTTGGCCTGTTCGAGGACTTATTCGTCCTTCCAGGGGCTCAAGGGAAGCCTCGGGAGGCTTAAAACTGGCCCGTTTCGGCACTTCCGATATTTCCGGAAGGCCTGTTTTTCGGCCTCCCAAGGCTGCAGAGGTTTCCCTCGAGCTTCTGGGAGGGCAAAAACGGCCTCAAATGGGCTGAAAATCAGCTGAGAGGTGGGCACATGGACAGTGCAGGTAAGTTTGGCTGGGACTTGCATGTCTATGCAAATGGCTCTGCTTGCCACCTGTGGCACACGTGCCATAGGTTCGCCATCACAGTTCTAAATTATGTACATTTAGTATATGTCTTAACTCTTGAACTGTTTGTATTTCTTTTGGGATCCTCATGGAAATTGGTTTTTCGCCAGTAACATGATGGGCAGTTCAATAGAGGTCTTGGTCAGTGCCTGGAACATACTCATGGGCATCAATCCATACTCATTACGGATTTGGCAGGAAAACCCGTGTGTGTGTGTGTGTGTGTGTGTGTGTGTGTGTGCTCGTAAATGTATGTATGTATGTATGTATGTATGTATATCAATTGTAGAAAACAAAAAAAGAGTAATATAAAAATATAAAAGTCCAGAAAGAATAAAGGTACTGCTGATTGATGTTCTATGATTTCAAATTCACTTACATGTGCAGAACTAAGAGCATTCATGAGATTCAAGGTATAGACTATAAAGATTGATGGAACATAATCTGGATTGCTTAACTGAATTCATGTTTTCTTTGTCTTCCAGCACCTACAACACATTGCGTTGTCAGTCCTGTGAACTAGACATTGGCTTTATTCTCTATAGTTCAAAGTCACTGGCTTACCTGCGTGGCCTCTTCTGCCTTTTTAAGAACAACATCACATGGTTAGTGTTCTTCAAATCACTACTGCGTTATTACTGCATTAGTGAAGACCTGAGTAGCCATAATACAAATACTGTATATTTTGCTAAACCAGCCGTCAGCTGAGGGCGTATACTGGTATAATAATTGATTTTTAGCACTTCAATTAGATGGCCTAGACATAGGTATCTGAATCTCTTTAACTTTCATATTTTATAGTGTTTTTTGATCTAGACAAAATGTTAATACATATACACATATTGCAATCCATGTATGATATGACATATGCTAAATAAATGAATAAATCTTGATAGTTTAGGAAACCATATTCACAGATTGATAAAATTCTTGAACTCTAATATTGAGGGGAAATCCTTTTGCAATGTCTCTGTTCTTTGTCTACTTGCTGACAAACCAACTTGGGACAGGCCGAGTTAAGCACTGAACTATTTATTTTGTATTTAATGAGTCAATATTAAAATATTTTTAACATTGGCTTTAGTTACTTGCTACAAACTACCACTACAGTAGAAGCTTCAAAAGTAACCTGTCCTGTTGTGAGCCTAAAGGAACATGTAGAAAAAGTAAGTGTTTTCTGGCTTTAGTTTTTTTTAAATCTATATCTGTATAAACTGGAATTTTTTTTGTATTTATTTGTTTTATGTTTATACCGTGCCTTAAAAAGAATGAAAAAAATATACTTGAAAACATACAAGATATTCTGTCCTCTATTTAGTTTTTTGGGAGATTTGCCACAAGCTCTAACAGACCAGAAATTGTTCCATATGTAGATATGTCAGCATTAAGAAAAAAGAAAAATAGGGTGGGAAAAGATTGTGCTACAGAGGATTGCCAATGGCATAGATCATGTTGAAACAGACCAGGTTTACCTAGCTTAATTGTGACCTCATGGCAAATTCTAATCAATAACTCTTTACTTTTTCATGCAATGTCCACAATCTAAATTAAAGATTCTTGTATTACTAAAATATGAATCAAAATGTTAGTACAGGACTGGAAAGCTTATGGGCCATTTATGTTCTATCAGTTGAAGTGTTAATGGCAATTTTTTACCAAGTGGTAGCATAGTTTATTGTCTCCCATCCCATCCCCAAATTAAAGACTGATTCCAATGGATTAAACTAAGGATGGAAATAATGGTTTGCTTCCCAGAGGGCTCTTCCAATAGTCAACACTTTGGCAGGACAAACGGGGCCTTTTCTAATAACATTGCTTCAGTGAGTGACCCTAGAAAAGTTGCATTCCTCTCAGATGTTGCTCAGCCCTGCTTCAGTTTAACATATTAGTCTTTGATACTAAAATTTTCATATTACCATATTATATGGTTGAATAGTGAAGAAATACATGAATACTTAAAGAATTCTGTTTCTGTAGTACTGCTTATATGAATATTTTTAAATTGAAACATATTGGTCATTTTAAAAGTATATGTAAGTCAAATTGTTTGATATTCTGTACTATTCTTTTTACACTTAGTTCTTTCTTTGTAGTTAAAAGATAATCTTGTACAAGTTCATGTACGCATGGAATTGCTAATTAAGAAACTAGAAGAATTCAGTCAAGGGATTACATCTGAGAAGGAGATCTGTAAAGGAAGACTGTATGGATATACAAATAGAAAGTTGAACAGTTAACTTTTTAGAGTGCCTATCTCAACTGTTTTTATGTGTGTAATTGAAAATGTAAATTAATATGGCTTTAGACTGGCAAATTTTTGATACAAATTTGTTTCCTTTTCTATGATGCTCAAGGGCATATAGTGTTTGAGCATGAACAGCTATCCGAAATCATTTAACTCCTACATGTAAATATTTCTATATACTTTCTAACAAAAATCTTTAAACATTGCATAACTGTCATAAGATTGTGTTGTGAACATATTGGAAACTAGATAGTCTACCTGAAAGAAATAAACATTTACTTTGTACATTCCTTTAAAGGTTATCTTATTTTTTTTACATTTGAGAAAGATGTTATCTCAGGAGTCAGCTATAAATTGTGCTCAGTAACATTAAAATTGGTCAAAAAGTGAAACATTTTAAATACTAGATTAACATTTTACCAAAAACATTTTAAATTATTGCCATACTACCAAAAGTAACAATGTTTTGAGGAAATAACAATTTCCTTGTGATTGTACTTTCACGATTGAGAAAAAGGCTGCAATGGATGTAGTATGTTTTTTTCAGCAAGTATGCACAAGATTTATATCCATAAAATATTTAAAAAATGTTTCCTTTGAGTAAAACTGATCAATATCAATCTAGTCAGGAGAAACAAATGCTTGGAGTTTTTCCGCAGAATAACCTGAGGTAATTAGTTCTTGCTACCTAGTTTGGAAGTAGAAACTGTTACTCCAATGAACAAGAATATAAGAGCTCTGATTAATTGTAATGATTACATGCAAGAATTCCAACAATTACCTTTAAATGTGTATCTTTAGATATCCAATTTTTGGCAACAAACTCTTGGCCATTTCCTTCTGCTTTTTGTGAACATCCAGAAGTTTGTCTCTTGTGAAGATGAGGCAGTCTATAGTTATTCATGTTTTTGATAATCATTCAGTCTTTACTTCAGGTTAACACACACTAGGAGTAACATTTCTGTACTTGTGCAGATAAAACATACAAGAACATACAACTCAATGATTCTTTTAACATAAATGCATTCCCTTATATACTGAAGGGAAAGTGAAATGGTACAAGAGAATCTTGTACATTTAACTTTCTAGAAAGAAATGACACAGACATTTTAGTGCATTCTCAGCTCATGCTGCTTTATTGCTAAAAATTATACACAGGTGCAGAGTTTCAAAGCTCATTGTTGAGCAATTGTTTACAGTGTCAAAAGAATATATTTAACACATTCTTTCCCTTCCCCAAATATGCATAGATATAAAAGCAAGCTGCCATTTGGAAAATATTAGGTATATACATAGACAAATTGTTCACATTGATACTTAATAAATATAAGGGAATAGATTATACTCGTCCTTTCTTATCCAGATGAGTTTATCTGTTAGTAAAAGGCATACTAATCTGCCAGTCATTTTGTAGGTTATCTTCAAGAGTTCTTTTGCTACCAATTCTTCACAGTTTTCAAACACCAGAATAACATTTTATTTTGAAAAAAGTATATCCATTTAGTAGCCCAATCTTAAATCCTACTCTTTATAATTGAAGCACCTGCAAGCAATTGACAAGAAGTCAACTTTGGAAGGAAAAACTTAAGAAATGAGAAATACATTTCTAAATGTGTTTGAATCACAACTTCAATAGGTCTACCAGTAGTAATATGAAGTTACTGATTACTGGCAATAGTTGTGCAAAAGTATGGTTGGAAATGTATATAACTGGGAAAATTACAAAACCAAAAATGCATAACTATGCCTTAGCAAATGTTCATAGCTAGAAAAAAGGTCAAACTTTGAGATACACTACGGGTAGTATTCAGATAAGTGAAGACTGTCTTTTTGCAAACCAGTACAATCCAAAGATTCAAACTCGAAATTTCTTTTTAGCAGAGTTTAATAGAAAAAGCATGTGCCAACTCAGAAATTGCTGCAACAACTATGCTGTTATATTTCTATTATCTGTTCTACTGCACCAATTTTTCAAAATCAAGTCTTATCAACAGCAGTGTCATGTGACACATCACTTTTTCTCCCTTTGCTAAACCGGGCATGGACGTGGCCAATGTGTGATGCATCCGGCCCGCAGGCCACAAATTTGACAGCCCTGCTCTAGCAGATGAAAAAAGCTACTCCCTATTTAAATACAACTTGAATGAATAATATTTAAATATCTCCAATTTTCATAAGGTAAGTTATCATTATTGCTGGTTTGAACCCAGTTCATTTTAATCCAGCTGCCAAAGTGGTGGGGGAAAAAACCTGAAAAGCTACACCTATCTTACAAAGAATTAATACCTGAAAAGTATGGACAGCTTACTCATTTTAATTACTCATTGTTTTTTTAGCTGCAAAAAGCTCTGGCTAAATTTACTATCTCTACTTAAAAATAGTCATAAACCCTAAACTGCTTAGATCATTTTTATTGCCCCATTTGGGATTTATGTATTCCCTTTTCTGTGCTGTGAAACTCTGCACCTTTTTTGTTTGTACAACTGCAGCAACCAGGAAACCCAAATTACCATTAACCATGTTCATATTATATAGGCTCATGAGCGGCTATGAACTTGGTAAGAGGCCAAAAGGGTTCATTCTACTGATTCCTTTTTCTAATACACAGTTTTGGCGTCATGCTTCATCCCTTCTTTGTACATTTTGCCCCTTTACTAAAGAGGCAGCATGTTGTCTAAAAAAACTGAGAATCAAAGCAGTAAATTCAAGCTATTGGTATATTGGTTCCTATTGCTTCATAATGTATAAATGCATATATCAATTTACTGATAATAGCTATAACACTATACATTTTAATCATGCATAATTAGAATACTATCTCTAAAAAAAGACGGTTTGTGAGTCTATGTGCTTGTGCCAGTGGTTTTTCCCACACAAGTATTCCATTCTGATAGTTTTGTAACCTCTTCACCTGCATGGAAAAGAAAAGAATTGCAATATCCAGTCCTTAAGAAATACTACACTTTATGGAATATTTGTTGTGCTGCGACTTGGAAAACTTGGAAATTCCATCTAAAACCAGCTAGGAAGTGCTCAGATTCAAAGCCTCCATCATTCATTTCCCATGTTTCTAGAATGAACTCAGTTCCTCTCTGCACATAGCTTTCTTCTCCAGAATGCAAGAAATAGTCACCCTCCCATAACCAAATGCATTCTCTAATTATTTTCAGATTCCAATAACAAACCCTTGCATAAGTGTTCTTTCATCCCCCTTTATTAAGAGATACACCAATGTATTTATTCCAGCAATCTTTGTATAAGTCTATGCATTATGTGTAGCCACAATTTTTCCACATTTCTGGAACAGTTCAATTCCCTGCTTCTCTCTCTCTATATATATATGGGCTCCTCCTGAACCCATCCCAAACATACAAACCTAATGCAAAACCTCAAACCAGCTTAGCCTCTCTAGATCTTGACTGAACCATCAAAGAACTACTTGCAATCTCTATTCCAGAAGCCTGTTTGTGAGAACTATTTTTTGGCACCTGCGTCAATATTGTGCTTACATTGATTTATTGTTTTTCAAAGTGCAAAATAAAGGAAAATCTAAAAATCCAAAGGGAAGTTTATATTAAAATGGATTTCACCATAAATTTAGAGAGTAGGTAGTGATGATTAAACATTTTTAAAAGTACTAAAATATTGATGGATGAAATGCAAGCTCTATGGAGTCTTTCATCAAGAATACTATTAATGTTTCAATGAAACTGATCTGCAGTCAAAAATTAAGAGCTATCAAAAAAATTATTACAATTAAAGAAAGGAGAAACTACACAGAGAATAGGCAGAGTAAGTACAATGAAGAGCCACTTAAGAATTTTCTCTCATCTGCATTTAGAATCATATATATTTCAGTACTGAATTTCCAGTAATACTATAGTCCCTTATCACTTAGATCAAGGCAGTAATGTACTCTAGGATGAGGCTGTGGTTCTGCGATTTAGACACTTTAGCAAGCAATTAACAGTCTAACTAGTTCTTCCAGAATAGCACCACATTCAAGTCTTTCATGCAATCCTGAGTCCTCACATTCAGATGAGAGTAAAAAATTTTTTTACGAGCAATGTTCTATTCAGCCTAGCACCAGCTGAGCGAACAGTGAAAAAGGTTTGTAAATTAGCTGCTCAAAAAATGTGAGCAGTGAAAATTGTACTGATATAGATACAAGATACCTTCAGGATTCTGCAAATGGATATTTAAATAAGCAAGTAGACAACCACCATAAGTGCAAATAATTTTCCAGGAAAACTGAGTTTAATGAATACCTCCGATCTATTTTGTGATCAAAAGTCACAAAACATGAACTAAATGTTTGATTAAACTTCTGAATATTTTAGATACTTGTGCTAATTTGCATTGATCAGTATAAATACGTAGAACAGAAAGTTCTATAGAATGTATATAAACATGCATGCGTGTATATGCCTTTCATTTTAAAACTGCCACCTTATCCATATAGATAAATGATACCAAAGAATGTAAAACAAAAATAAAAGTAAAGCCACTTTCTTTAAATATATGTCCCAGCCTTGCAGTTGAATCTGGTCAATCAAATCCTACTTATGGCAGATTTCTATATTAGATTTATAGTTTACCTGGTCTTCAGTATGCACATGCATACAAAGTTCGTGCAACTGAACTTTAAAGAGATATAAACTGCATTCTCTAGAATGATAAAGGTAAGAGTTTGCCAGACAGAGTAAACTGAAAGTTGCTCTCCTTCTTCCAAGTCTACAAGTGGCTTTATAAAATTTAAAAAGTATATATTGAAACCAGATCAGATTTGTTTATAAAAGAAAATGAATACAAGAATTATACAAGCACTAAATTATAGAAGCACTTTTCTTTTAAAGAAATTCACAATTCGGTTCAAAAATTTGGATCCCCAAACTCCTAAATTATATTCCTGGACAGAATCCAGCCTCAGGGATTCTTAGTTACTTCAGAAATGATGATCAATTATCTATAAGCATTCTGTGTAAGTTCTCATCAGTTTCACACACAATAAACCTTTCCTAATTGTATCATTTTTGAAAAATAAAATCATTCTCAAATTTTTCTAAGCTTCACCCTATAGCATTCAAGCACATAGTGTTGTGGTAGAGAGGAACTTACCAACTTTTAATGAGAAATTCAACTTCCTGCAACACAGAGCACAGCAAACCTATTTGGTTAATACCATTTATTCTACTATACTATTCTTGCCAATGCAAGTTACATCCTAATACATGCAAACAGTTATTGCTACTAAAGTTCTATTTATTGTCATCTTATGGCTTTATTTGCATCAGGGATTCCCCCCCTCCCACATACTGTGCTATTTTGCATTCCAGTTTCAGAGGTATTTTTCCATCAATTCTCCCAATCATCAGCCCCATTTTATTCAATTATACTGCTGTTCAGAAGAGAGCCCCAAAAGATCTCAAGGTCCTTACAATTCATCTCCAAACGACACACCTTGCCACTTTCAATGAGAAAATAGAGAGATCTTTAAATGTAATTCTGCAATTTACAGAATTACAGTTACAAGTATCATATTATGTTTTGCCAATAAAGAAATACAAAGTCAAAGACATCTTTTCTCTCATCAAGGTGGCCATTTATAGAGAAGTTCTTTTTTTTTAAAAAAAGATGCAGTATCCCCTTTAAGCTAAAAGTAGCATTTAAACCATAAAGATCACAAAGAACTAGATTCATAACTTAAAACATGACTTGTTTAAACCAAAAATAAAGTAGATGAGTTACCTAACTGTGTAATTTCAGAAAAGAGGGGGGAAATCTACTAAGATTAATTACTATAATATATAGATATTTGGATGCAAGAAATAAATGTGACTAATTAGTAAGAAAACTCCAACAAATGCTTTACCAAAATAATGAGGTAAGCAAAAAAAATATTTTAATAATAAACAATGCTAATAACTTAGATGCATTCAGAATTAGCAGTACAGTGACAGTGTTTCTAGATAGTCAATTTTGCAAGATGCTACTCTTGATTAATAGCTGCCACATTGGCAGATATGTGCAAGCTCCAATCTATCATTCAGTTTCTACAAGCAACAATTACATTGTAAAAGGTTACCAATTCCTGTCTTAATGCAAGCACAAAAACAATCAACAAATCTGATTCAAAAACATATCAAAAGTTTTTCTGGAAAAAAGCATGAATGGGAAAGACTAGTCATATGCTTTATTCTAGTCCCTAAAATTTAAAAATTTACACTATCAGTTTTTTTTTCTCATTATAGCAAAATATTCCATGATTCACAAGGGGTTTTGTTAAAGATTATTACTTCTACTAGGGTTTTTACATGCAGTTAAGTGCACTCAAAATATACCTGGCTGGTTAAAGATTTTCATGCAATCACTATGAAATTCACATCTCACTGATTCTATGCAGCAGTTTCTTCTACCATTGCCTAGAAAGGACACTGCATCTTTAGATCATGACCATAACCATGTCAGTTTCCTATAAGTTACATCATCAGCTTCATTAATTTGTCACTCTGAAATTGTAAAAAAGTACTACTAGGCTCATGCACTGATCCTAACATGGCACTACAGTTTTGCTACAAAGCACTAATGCTTATGGAACTATACACATTTTAAAATGGAAGACATTGGTGATTTTGTTGTTCTCAAACAACTTGTAACATTTTGTCCACAAGTATTAAAATATATTTATATGTATATATTATACTATTGCACATGCCCCATATTTGCTTCATCTTTCAGATGTGAAAGATTTCCTGCCAAGGTGGACAACAGATGAGTATGTAAAACAAACAAAAAATTAAGGCAATATTGCCTGCGAATAGAACTGTTAAGAAGATGCACATGGATAACTAAACTAAAGTTATTTCCCGGGCATAGAGAGCAGTGGTGTTGTTGTTTTCTCAAATGCTAGGTTTACTCTTAATTCAGTCCTATTCAATAGAAATAGATACATTATTACAGTGGCATTTAGTGAGAAAGGAGATAAAGAATTGGTTTTCTTCTTAAACAATATGATCGTTTTCTAATTATTTGGGGAAACTAAATTACATCCCCCCCCCCATGTACTGTATTATCTTCTCCCCAAAAATCTCTGAGGTATAAATAGCTGAAGCAACATCCAAAAAAACTGATTAAATTCATGCTTTCTAATTTTTAGTAAGAGTTTCAGAGAACAACTTCATTAAGATAGGTTTTACTTCTGAAGCCCTGATAAATCCAAAAGGTATCCAAATTATTTTAAAATTTAAACTTGTGTATGAGTAAATTTCCAAATTTCACAACTCTTTTGACTATGAAATATTTCATTTTTGTCCTGTGGCTATAGAGTTTAAGCCCTCTGAAAGTGTTCTGTTGTAACACTTAAAAAAAACCAATTGTACAGGTAGTCCTTATTTAGTTCTTATTATGCCAGTTACAATAGTGATGAAAAAGTAACTTTATAACTAATCCTTGTATTTATATTTGCAAGTCTGTAAAGCAAAGGAAAGCGGAAGTAAGATCTCAACAACAGGTCAGTTTCATTTACTGACTGCTTTGCTTAATAACCAAGATGCCAGTTCCAACTGTGGTTGCTAAATGAGGACTACCTCTACTTCATTTTTATTCAAATAAAGCAAAAATAATGTTTACTCTTTTATCATATATAAGCTAAACACAACATGATGACAAGCAAATATAAATGCTTTGCTCGGCATATCCCCCTTATTAAACTATTTAAAATATACAAACATCCCAAATGTTCTTCTAGAAGCCACTTTAACTTTGAAAAATAACAATCAGCCAAAAGCATTCAACATTCTTAGCTATGACTAACAATTGTGTTACAAATGTACTTCCTTTAACTAAGAGTGAGGATATTGTTAAAACTATCAGCAAACCCACATTAACCTTTTAATAAAACTGAAATAAGGTGCTCCATGGCTCAGCAAGGGAAGAAGACATAGGCCTTTGCACCCATTGTGGTAAAAAGCAGCTTTTAAACCAGCCTGAAATAGTCTAGTAGAAACAAACACGATGCAAAGAATGTTCTGCAAAACATGTTTAAAACACAATTCCCACCTTAACTCTGGGTGACCTATTAAGAAATAATAAAGAAGCCCTTCCTGAGCATGCCTAATTTTTGTTCATGCAGTGGAGTTTTACATACAAGGTTATACTGGCATTGTTCCTTCTTTCAGGTAAAAGCCTGGATAATTAAGTCATTGTTCCTTTTATAGTTGAATTCCTTAGGAAAGAAATGGGATACCAAGTAAATTCTACTGTCCAAGGCTTACTTTCTATACCTTTAAGTCTCCAACCTTCATTTTGTGGGACATATTATTAATATCCCCACTTTCCAGCTTTATAATTCAATTATGCATAATTCAATTGATGCAACTTTACATAGTTGCATCAAGATTTACTTGCATCAAGATTCCATTAAAATCTAATTATAAACTGGCTCTTTTAAGGAAGGAAAATCTTTCAAACTACTTCTCTTTTATCTTTTGTAACACATGTACATTCATGGTTCTTCTGCCACATTTTTTCATCAAGATTTATGAGACAGTATTTCAAGAATATACCAATTTGTTAAGTTCTCCAAAGATTTTGTGGTGAATTGTTTTACTGAAGTATACTGAATGAATCAAAGTGTTAACAAGAATTGACAATTACTCATATTGTAATGCACAATCATGTTTAAAGGGCAAAAACCATAAGCAAAGGCCTGGTTTACATGAGAGTCCATATATTCATTTTAGTTGTTTTGCAAGGATTGTACTTTCATCCCGTATAATTCTGCTTCATGTGGTAATTTTTTATGATGAGGAGATGTAAAAGAATCAAAGCAACATGTCTTCATTTCCATTTAGAGAAATAAAGGAAGAGTTTTCTTCTCAAGATGGGCATTCAGGAATAACAACTCTTTAAGAAACAGAATCTCCTGGGTCAAAAGGAAAAGACCTGGAATCAAACATACAAAAATTATTTATTTATATCTCACCTTTATTATTTTTACAAATAACTCAAGATAGTGAACACTTCCAACAAACCGTCCTCCTCCTATTTTTCCCATCACGAACCTATGAGGTGAGATAGGCTGAGAGAGAATGACTGGTCTAAGATCACCCAGCTGCCTTTCATAGCCAAGGCAGAACTTGAACACAATCCTAACCCTAACCATTAGATCAGGGGTCTTCAAACTTCACAGCTTTAAGACTTGTGGCCTTCAACTCCCAGAATTCCTCCTCCAGTTATGTTAGCTCAGGAATTCTGGGAGTTGAAGTCCACAAGTCTTAAACTTGCCAAGTTTGAAGACCCTTGCACTAGATCAAACCAGGTCTCAAACAAACTGTCTCTCAATTAATATACTGAATCTGAAAACAATATTTCATTTCTAGAAACTTGGTATTTTAACATTGAAAAATAATCTGCAGATGAATTTTAGATAATATGAACAATTTGGGTATTGTGCCATTAATTATGGTCACATTCTGCTTACTCTTAAGACTCAGTAATTTCCCACAGACAGTAAGACCACTTTATAAGCCTAGAATCTGAACTATGTTTGCTTCCTGATACATAAATATCACTGGAAAACATTGTCATGAAAAGCAACTGAGTATGGAAAATAAATCTTATCTCTACTGCAAATAGCAGTAGCGTTTAGATTTATATACCATCCCGTAGCGCTTTACAATGTAGAAGCATTATTTGCATATGAAAATATTTATTGTGCTAAATGTACAATATAAAGTAGTATAATATCAGTAATAACAACTGAGTTGAGGTCCCAACCGTTTATCATTTGGGGATGCAGGAGAGGCTTATTTTAGGTATCAACGGTATTTAATTGAAAGCTGGCCATGGAATAAAAAACAACAGAAAACAAATTTTCATGAAAATGATAGTAGTGTATAAGCCACTAAAAATAACAAAGAATGTTCAGTCATTTCAATATAACCTATATTGTGAGTTTGTAAGCAAAGCTTGCAGAAAAGAATTTATTTTGAACCAATTTTGAACCAAGGATGAGAGTTTGAACCAATTCCAAAATACACATACTAATTTTCCATTCCTACATATTTTTTATGCACATGTCAATCCAGAGCCTTTACCTGCTGCAGAACCCTTTCCTGAAGGCCTCTGATGGCGAAAAAGAGGCCAGAAGGCGCTGTATGCTTCAATCCGGTATTTTTTTATCGGCTGCAGAAGCCTTTCCTGAAGGCCTCTGACAGCAAAATGTAGACTGGGGACGACACGCGCAAGTGGTGGCAAGCAGCCACAGAAGTGGGCTGGCAAGGTGAGGCAGGTGTCAGGATGTACGAGGCCTGGCTGCAACTGTCCGAAGGTAAGCAGCTCTACCCCCCTCCATCCCCACCCTGAATTGAGTTTTACCCCATGCGCCTTGCCTCACCCCATGAAACCAGGTGCAACAGAGTGGGCAGGATCTTAACTAGGGCTTATTTTGGGGAGGGGAGGGCTTATATTGGACGCATGTGTAAAAATCAAGCTAAGGCTTATTTTCAGGATAGGTCTTATTTTCAAGGAACAAGGTATTATAATTGTAATAATAATTTTAATAATAATTTTAATAATAATAAGCATACTATGGTTTACTGCTTTTAACGTAATCCATCCAGCGTTATCTTGTGATGAGATGGGTAGCAAAAAATATAATAAAATAAATAAATATCAGCACATCTTCAAACTACTGATAATATAAGAGGTCCAAATTAGACTGGAATGTTTTAAAAATGGGCTGAAAAAGCTATTGGCAAACAACTTCCACATCATGCCAAGAAATCAACCAGCCCATAATTTTACCAGGAAGCAAGATTACCTTGAAGAAGTTTTTATCTTTAGTGATGGATCATTCTTGACTTCTCCTCCCTTTTGGATGATAGGGACATTTGTTTGCTTCCAATTCCATTATAATTTCTCTGTGAATGTAGAATTTTCTTAAATTATAGAAAAGTCCTGATGAAGATATTCTAAGATTAACTTCTAAAGGAGGAGACATTCATATAGAGCAAGGTTCTCCAACACCTCGTCCACGGCCCAGTGCCAAGCTGCAGCCTGTTGGGAATAAGGCCGTGGAAGTTGTGACTGCGTGCACGTGCGAAGCTGCATTTGTGAAAACAGTGCGTACATGAAATAATCCTCCACCCCATTGCCGCCGCCTCTACAGGTCCATCAAGCTGTAAAGATTGGGGACTGCTGATATAGACGAATGTATTCACAGAACATATAATTTGGTTTATTCTTCTGGAATACATAACTGCATTGCATCTGTTAAATTTAATTGATATTTTCACTCAATTCTCCAACCTATTAAGATTGTTTTTAATGGAGAGGAGGGAACTTGCTTTCCACCTAATCCAGAGGTGTCAAACTCAGATCGTCACATGATGCGATGCATCACATGATGCATTTCAACTCTTTTCCCCTTCGCTAAACCGGGCATGAGTGTGGCCAGCATATGACGCATCTGGCCCATGGGCCACGAGTTTGACAGCCCTGATCCAATTTATCCTGATCTAATTTATCCTAATTTTCACCTGGAAATTTGATAGGCATTCTCTCTGCTTCCTTATTCAAGTCACCTCATTTTATACCTCACTCCCAACTTGATGAGGAATTACTAATAAGTGCTGCTTATTTTCAAACCAGCTATGTACCCATTTATTTCTCATGACATCCAGCCCAAACAATACATTAGCTTGCTAAAGCAGAATCACATGGGGTACCCCACTTAACACTTCACTGAAATCAAGGCATATTTTGTCCATTGATTTTCCAAATTACTATTACCCAATTGAAAAAATGAAGGATTAGTCTGACAAAATTTATTTTGTAAAAAGCCCATTATGATTTGATAATTACTGCAATGTTTTTAAAATTTTTACAGGATATCTCTTTCAGATCTGCTCTAGAATCTGCCCACATAACAATGGAAGAATGACCATTATGACATTTTCCCACTTTTCTTTCTTTGAACATAGGAAAAACTTTCATCCAATTATCCAGCACTTCATAAGTTTTCTAGAATTTTTCAAATATAAAGCATAAAAGCTTGACACATCAGCAAATTTCTCTAGCATTCTGGGATAGATAAATCTGTCAAATCAAAAAGAAGCAGGCCACACACAATTTGATGAACAAAATGCACTTACCTTTCATTTCATGCTGCACTGATCATTTTATCATTTTTGCCTGTAGCTTTCAGTTAATGCAAATTTTGACTTCCAAGTACTATGATATATGCTTGGGTCTGGAGGGGCACAGACCTGGAGGGGAGAACAAGATATTAAAAGACACATTACAAATTGCTGTTTTCTATCTGGTAACCATTAAAGACCTTTATGTTATTCCTTCATATTGGAGCAAATCTCCACAGATACACATTAAACTCATAATTGACAAGTTTTGACGTTATACCTTTCAAATGCAAACTGAATTTATCAAACAGAAAGGTGACAAACAAGCCATTATTTGGACTATAAAAACCCAGACATGAATCATAAAATTCCGCCTTAGTTATTTTGGCCATGTCATCTGATCAAACTCACTAGAAAAGCAGTTATGCTCAGAATAGTCAGCAATAAAAGGAAATGAGGTCATAAAAAACATGGTGGTTAGATACCAATAGCCAGACCATGAAAGAATTGAAAGAAGCTACACAAGATGGATAATGTGAAGAGAACCAGTCCATAGAATCTCTGAAAATCAGACATGATTGAACAAATAGCATCATCAATGTTCCTGAATGCTGATAGGAACACCATCAACCTACCAGAAATACACAATTACATATCCTTATCCATAATTTGGACATGCAATTGGTAAATAATGGCTCGTTAAAACCTTAGCATATGGTCTGCATAAATAGTTTTGGTTTAGATTTTCTTTCACCTTCATTACATGCAACAGTATCAGAACCTTCTAATCCCAATTAGTGTTTGCATTTATCTCTGAAATAGGACAAGTAATTAAAAAGCAGCACTGGGAGTGGTAGAGTTCTAGTTCCCGGTGAAAGTACATTCTTGGTCTCTGAAGCCCACCTTTAAATTTGGGGGAAACTGGAGAAGGAAATGTTATGTATGCCATATTGAACTCTTGAAAGAACAGTAGCATATAAAACTAACAAATAAATCCCTACACTAAAATGTAAACTATTTGGAAAAATAGATACACATCCTTAAGCCTTATAGATATTTAGTAACAAAGTTACCATTAACTATTCCTCCCTAAATGCTTTACTAGATTAGGACCCCCAAAAGCACAGTGTTTAGAGTAGGATGTTATAATTACAATATTATCAATTTTATATCCCATCTTTACTTCAGAAGTTCAATATCACTGAATAATAACTGGCCTCAAATCATCTAGTTAATTTTCTGACAGAGAGTAGATTAGAATTTGGGCCTCCCCAGTCTTTGTCCATCAACCTGTTATACTACACTAGTTCACCAGGATGGTCCTTTTTGTGATTTTTGTGCCCAACAAGTAACATAAAACAGAAAATTGTCCAATTGTATTATTCTACAAAAAGCCTATTTTAATTTTTAAAGAAATATTTATTCATTATAAATACCACCATAACACACATAAGTGTCATATTGACCAGTTTCAAAGTTAAATCCCTCCATGACTAAACTTATGAAATATATTTATAATACGCCTAGAGTATCACTAAAATAACTACATTCTGAATACAAATATTCAGCCCCTTCATATTTTATATTAAAAGCAATGTCATACTCTTGACTGTTTTGAATAAAATATTTAAACTACGTAAGTTGTACTTTAACTATTTTTTTTTCAAATGGTTCATTTGAAAATCTTTCAGCTAATAGAAAATATATAATTTATTACTAGGCAGCATTTCTGTCAGGTCACCCTATTTTGTGAGTTCTTTGGAAAAGTCATGATAAGTAAGACTCCAACAAAACTATTCAGAGGAATTCAAGACATTTTCAGGCACCAATTCCCAGCTGGGTTCCATGCTTGTCATATCTGGGGGGGGGGGGGGGGGG